CCCCTGCCACGGCCAATCTGTGTCCTAATCTCCATCAATTAACAAGAAACACTTTCGCCCCCTCGCTCCCCCGCACCAAGACAGACCCCCCCCCTGAAGCCTCGGATAAAGAGGAAGGAGCCTCCCCAGCCTCGACCCTCTCCCCCTTTACTTTCCACTAACTCAGCGCAACCAATTAGGCATCTGACACCCGTACTGGCTGACAAATTGTTTCTGTCATCTGCTTTCTGTCTTTTATTAAACGAGAGGCGGAGGGGGGGATTGAGAAGGGGGGGGGGGCTGGGAGATGTGATCTCCCATGCTTAGCGAGGCCAGATACATTAATTACAAAACGGCCATTTGCAGCATGAAAATGCATTAATTAAATTTATGCAATCATTATCTTTAAATAGTCATATCTTTAAAATAATCAGCCCTTCCTGAGTCTTCCCTCTCTTCTGCTAAGTATCTCTAATCCCTTTTCCACCATTTATCTCTGGATCAGCAGTGCCTTGTATGCTTTTAAACTTCTGCATGCAGGAGATGCCTTAAAAACTCCGCTCAAGTAATAAAAGGGTGTGATACCTTCACTCTTCCCCTTGGCTCCGCAGCAAGGGGCACAATTCTACTCAGCAAATTATAGGATGTGCCATTTTTTGGAGGCTTTTGATCAAGTTATTTTCATAAAGGAGAGTTTGTAGCTCAGCCAGGAGTTGTGGGGTTAATGTATAAAGTTCTTTGCTTGCATTTGTACAGGAGAGCAAGCTATGTGCTGGTTTACATACCCACTTAGTAAATGTATTGTTGTTTTTATTTGGAAGAGGTTTAATTTTGATGAGGTAACAACCCTTCCCTTTGGTGCAGACATAGCTTTGCCAGCAGACAGCTACCTTTCACCAGTGTATGTTTTTCTTCTTAAAAATCACTTAGTTCAATGCAGTAAATGATATTATTAACAAAAGCAAGGTTTTAAAAATAGGCATTTTGCCACTCTGATGCTCAAGATTGCTTCTTGGTGGCTTCATATTATAATTCTAAAAAATATGTTATTTGGAGTACCATCAGACATAGCCAAAATCAAATTGCGCTAGACAAGTAAGAAGGAAGTGCAGTTAATGACATGTTAGCCCAGGACCTTCTACTTTTATACTTTATTGTTCAAAGGCTTCACCTGTTTGTGATGGCTACTCAAATAATCATTGCAAACTTATCAAGGTTTGTGCTGCTCCTCAGCAGACACCAGGTGCGGGAGTACCAAAATAGCCAGGGAAGAATTAATCTCATCCCCTGCTTAAGTAAGCACCTATAACACCACAGGAAAAGTCCAGTCCAAATAGCTTTTAAAGAGCTGGAGGACTCAAAGAGGGATACTTACCTGAACTCAAATACTTTAAGGCTTTCTTAGCGTTTCTGGTTAAAGATTTTTTGCTGCTCTTTGTGTGTCTGCATCATTTTTAATAAATCCTATGTGGGGTTTTTTCCCTATCTGTAATGCCTAGTCCCAATGTCCAATTAGACAGGAGCCAACGCAGTGGTATTTGTATCCAAACCTCATGTTGTGTTCAGCTGGAGTCATGAGCTCAGGATTAAGACTAGGTAGAATTTGGGCGAGGATTTGATGGTGACTGAATCCTGCCAGATTTCTCACATCTGAGGGGCAGAAGTGAGCTCTGGGGTTTCAGAAATGGAAGAAACTGTAGCTTGTTCTGCGCAGGGAAGTCCCCTCGACATTCCAAGTGTCCCCAGCCTCCTCTTCAAGAAGTGCATTATGAAACTATCAGCTGTTTGGATCCAGCACAGCATGAACTTAGTGTCAAGGTGATTACAAATAATGAATACAAAAGGCTTGTTTTTCCCTGGACCATCTCTGAGATGGACATTTCTGGAGAGAAAGGAAAAGCTTTACTATGGAGCAAAACTGGGAAAGAAGTGATTGGGCTGGAACACCATAGCTATAAGGGTAATTCTCTATTAAACCAGTGTTTTCAGTAAGGATGCCCACTTGCTTCTCTTCACTTTTCTCCTATTTGTTTTCGCAAATGCCTGCACAACAGTGGGCTCCGCACCTTGGTGGATGCAGCTCCATTAGCCCCAAGTTCAGATCCTATGGGGATTTTGGGGTTCGTGTTTGGCAAAAGCAAGCAGTTCCCTGTCTTTGAAAATACCACAGTGCTCCCTAGCAGCAGAGAGAAGTCCAAAGGAAGAGCACATAGCACTATGTAGGGCTGCAGAAGGCAATGTTTGGTTTCAGGAGCTGTGATTTTCCTACGGATGAGGGAAAAAGAGGTCCAGACTTTAGAAATTCATCCCTGTTGTAGCCTCAGAAGATCCAAACTGAGCTGAGGTGCTCCCAGACAGGAACGAGGTCTGGGTTTTTTATTCATTAGGGTGAGCTGAAAACAGAGACCTTCACCTAAAAAAATGCACCAAAACCCCTCTTGGGAAAGCTGGGAACTGAGAGAGCAGGTAAACAAGCAGCAGAGGAGCTGGCAATAGAAAGTGCTTCTGATTTTCCCTTTCTTCCATTCTTTTGCCAGCTCGAGTTATTAAGTGTTTGGTGCAAGCCTAGCTAGCCCTGCACTTGCTGAACTTATCTGGGTTATTTCATCTCCCCATGACCTCTCCGCATTTACGATGGGAACCCTGGAGGCATTGGCTTTGCTTAACTGGTGTATCTTACACAGCAGTTAAGCTGGACCTTAACTGATTACAGCCCTTGATTGATCAGAGAAAGAGGGAGGGGAAGAGAAAGAAGAGTCCTAGAGCAGATACGCAGGACTATCAGTGCACCAAGCAGCTTCGCCTGGGGCTGGGATATGCCACTTGGGGATTCTTTGTAGTGCAGCTCCTTTCACATTTATAGAGGCTCCCCTCCACTCTCCAAAAAGAGAGAAATAGAGAAAGAAAAGCAGGCGAGGGGAGGCATGGAGCGGACTCAAAGGATCTCAGGAAATATTGTTTCGAAGCAGTAAGTCAGCACCCGCACTCCATTACCAGTGTCCGCGGGGGGTTGTGATAGTGAGCGAGCACAGATCAGCTTAGCAGAGAAATGGGAAAAAAGAAAGAGGGAGAGAAATGGAAAGGGAGGAGGGGAAGAGGAGACCTTTCTGTGAATTTTCGTTTGTCTTTGTTAGTCTCTGCCGGCGCAGGGCTGCTGAAGAGAGGAATGGCAGAAGTTTATAAAACAGTTTTAATTTTCTGGGACTTTTCTGTGCTGCATGATCTCCCCACCCTGCCATTATTCACATCAGGCAGATGCACAGCAACAGATTTGGGGCTGATTTGGCAGGAAATGTTTGTGTGTGTTTATTTCTTGGTATTTTGAATCTCTCACCAAGCCCTTTTCGTTCCCCGCTTGCCATCAACGTATCTGAGCTTACCCGAGAATGGACAAATAGATGCAGAAGAAAAGACACAAGTGATCACCAGCCCAGCCTATTTTCAAAGACAAACCTAACCAGAGTCTTTCCACCAGTTTGGAAATGTTTAGGAATTCCAGTTTTCCATGGTTGTGCCTTTCTGCTTTCTTCTCCCAGATGATATTGTGAGTTCCAAAATGCCACAAGCAAGATTCATCTTCCTGCAATTAATACCCTGTGTAAAGTTGCCCAGAGATGCTCCATATCTCAACAAAGGGATTTTTCCATGGAAACTTTCCTTTCCAGGGTATTCACTTGGCCTTCACAGAGAAACATGTTCACGGGGGAAACAGGATCAGGGTACAGTTTGCTTCTGGTGACTTCTGTTAGTGTAGTCTACTGCCTGGAAGTAAGGAGGATGGGGTGGCTTAGTTTGCCAACCAGCACATTTGGGAAGCATTGACCTTCTTTTGGTTATTCTGTCTAGAATGTTTTAGCAATTCCAATTTAATCAGGAAAAAACACCTCGTGCTTAGGTAACACTAGGTGAATAATGATGGTTGGTAAAGCACAAACTGCCCGTTTTCAGAGAGGAGATACTCAGCAGTGCATGAAAATCAAATCCCTTTGACAGTTTCAATGTGGCAAGGTGCTAGTTAGCCTTTTGGCTTGAGTCTCCTGTTTCTGGAAGGGGTGAGTCGATGCCTCTTGATTTTGCTTATTAGTGGAACTGATGCTTGTAGAACTGGGACCCCCATTACCTTAAACAGCCCCCATTAGCATGGCATGTCTTTTTGTTTCCTCTCTGGTTATCCAGACTACAAAAAACGTTGCCATCTGCTTTTATCTAAGTGACAGTAGAGTTTGGTGCTTTAATGCCAGGGATAGTGGCTTGTGTTTCTAGATCAAGCACTTTTTAATGTAATTCCCATTCACAGTGATGCCTCCCCACATTCCCCTCCAAATTACACTTCTGCCGCAGGATTTCTCATAGCCCTTATTGGATGTATAACCCTGTGGTGCTTCTGATTTCCTTATGGTATTTCCATTGCAAGAAGAGGCCACTCCTCTTTCCCAGACCATCCAGACTGAAACAATTTTTCTTACCCTCATAGTTAAGACCTTCCCATTCTTTTGTATAGCTTAGAAACTTTTCTTTAGACCTTCTCCATAATTTGTACATCTCTACAGAAGCAGGGTGCCCAAAACAAGATGCAGTGCTCCAGGTGGAACCTCACCATAGCCTTGAACAATCAGGTAATAACTTCCCATCGCCTTTTTTTCTAATCCTCCCCTTGTGCAGCCCGCATTGGTCTGCTTTGCTGCAGCTCACCATTGCATCCCCAGCTCCATCTCATCCCTAGCATCTCCCCGAGCCCTCTCCATCATGAGTGTGTGGCAGTTCTTCATCCGTCAAGTGAACAAGGTCATCTTAGGACACAAACGCTCATCTCCATTTCACCTGCTGTGTCCTAGACCACTCCCCTACAGCACTGAAACATACTTCAGGTGTTTTAAGTCACTGAAAGGCATTGATGATATTTCTGGGTTTATTGTCCACTGCCAAACTGTACCACTGTTCAAGCACAGGCCCTCAGTAACTGTTTCTGACTGCTTTGAAGGGATGTGGTATGATCTGGCCCATTACACACCAGAAAGGATTCAGGCACGTTGCGTTGTGTTCCCAGCTCTGCTTCTGACACGTGCATGGCCTTGGGAAAGGCATTTCACTAGCCTCCAAGTATTTTCCAATGGAGTGGGGAACATTATGAAAATGAGACGTTACTGCTAGACAGCAGCAGCCACATCAGCCCTGGAGTCCTTCCGTAGCAGGAAGGACTTGTGAGACTGCGTTAGCTCATGCTCCTAACACTGTTCTCTTTGGCACTAGTAACGTGCTGATGGATGGATTATAAATACTCAGCTAGGTGAGGTAAAGCTGGGACAGTGGAGCATCAGGTTTCTTAAACTTTAACCCACAGCAAAATACCTGCTCATTTATGCCAGTGTGAATCAGGACTGTGTTTGAAGTCAGTGAAGTTACCCTTAAAGAAGGCTAATGTGAAGTTTGCTCCCTGGGCTCCAAAATTTAGTGGCAAGTGACATTAGATGGAAGGGACTGCAATGACCCAGCTCAGACACTTTCTAGGTGCAAGAAGTGTGAAGCACTGTCCGCATCCTTGGCCTGACTGCAAGATTAGGTTTAATGGGTGTGCTTACTGGGTTGGTTTGGCATACTGGGATACAACTCAGCTGGGTCTAGTGATTTAGAAAATATTAAAAATTAATTGCTTGGTTTTGTGAGTGCAATGTTAGTGATTGCTACATAAGTCATTTTAGTCCTACCTAGGGGCATATTTGCATATATTTATCCTCCTTTCAAGTGAAGATCTTTGGGGAAACTGTATTTATCTCCTCCCAACTCTTTCTTCAGCTTTCAGTAGTCCTACAGTCACCTCTTCATTTTGTTTCCATTTAATGTATGTATAGAATAATCGACTCTTCCCACCAAGTGAAAATGAATCCACAGAGATCAAAAAGCATTAATATGAGGAAGGGTTGCCTTCTGCAAGAGAGAAGGAAAAGATTAGCTGAGCAGGCTGCAAAATAAAGATGGAAAAGATTAAGCTGAGTCCCCACCAAGTAGCTAAGAAGAGTCTCGGAGGACAGAGCACGACCTACTCAGCAGAAGCTGAATCAACCACAAACAGCAGAGAGACCAGACCCTCATGGAGGAACTCAGAGTGAATCCTTAGCTTGGTCCATGTCGTTAGCAAAACCATAAGGTCCAGCATGTTTCCCAGTGTGGCCATCGGGCCCTGACAGACTTCCTGTTCCATAGGAAATGGTGTAAATGGTGACACCACAGAAGCTGAAACAAAGAGAGATTTCAGCCTACAAACACTCTTCACAACAGCGAATTTCCTAGTGCTTTTTGCCTGATGTAGTATCAAATATTCCAACTAATCACATTTCCAGCTTTTCCCAAAGAGGAGGGATTTCTACCCATTCCTAGGAAAGCTGCACCACAGCCTCAGAAATACTACCCAATGCCAGGAGACGCTTCCTCTGTTTTTCCCTTTTCTGTTTCTGCCTGGTATCCAGTTTGCATTCCTTTGGGACCACCTGGCAGCTTCTCTGGAGTTAACACCCTTCAGCTAGTTGCAGATCATTATGTCTTCCTTTTATTCAGAACTTAGCCAGGCTCAGAAATTTCTAAATGCAGCGTTTTTCTAAGGCAGCCTTTTGATTTTGGATGCTTTGCACTGTGTCAAATCAGGTGCCCAGAAATGGAGGCACCACAGAATCCAGGATCACCCTGGAAAATGCTGTCCACACACTCCTGCCTCCCCAATTGTTTTGTTTGCTTGGGTTTGACCTCAGTACAACCCCTCTGTGTCTTCCTGGTCATGGGGTGGTGTAGCATCCCCGAGCATAGATATAAAGCCTGATGTCTCTGTCGGCTGGGTGCTTTAGCAAGCCTAAAGCAAACTGATAATGCAGGGCAGGAGGTGTAGGGACTCTGAGGATGTATAGCCTGTCCGGCATGGCCTGGGCTGCCCTCGTATTTCCCGTAGAGCTCTTGACCGCAGAGACCGGTGAGGTGCAGCAGCCAGGTTCGCTGGGGCAAGGTTTTGTCATGAAACTTATCTGCTACCCTCCCTCTCCCCTCCCTGATGCTCTCACACCCTTCTCTAAGTGGTATCTCTCCCTAATCACTTGTCTGCCCCACGAGCCCCTCCTGCCCCTGCAACACACCCAACCGTCCCCCCCAGCCCCCCAACCTAAAATCTGAAGGCCTGATTGCACAGATTGAAGGTCCTAATTGCACTTCCCTTTCCAAAGCCGCATTCGTTTATCATAAAGGGTGCACATTTCCCCTGCTACAGTTTCCATGGCCAGAGGCCCTGAGGGCCAGCTCAGAAATGGAGGGAATTAATTACATTTTTTTAACTCCCCTTCTTTTAAAGTATGGGAGAGAGTGATGAAACGTCCCGGGGGGGGGGGAAAAGGGGGGGCTGGAGCGCTTGTGGGGAGGGAGGCAGCAGCAGGAGGCGAGGGGGGGGCTGGCTCTTTCATCCAGGAGGGTCTTTGTGCATTAACCTTGGTCTCCCCAACACATCAAGACCCCTACCTCCTCTCCCCCATGACAAATGACCTCCGGAAAGGGTAGAAACAAGGCCGAAGGCTCCTAGCACCATGGCTCTTATTGACTTACCCCAAAGTGCAAGCCCACGCCACGCCTGTGACTGATTTGGGACAGCAGCAAAGGGAAAGGAGATGGGGAAAGGAAGAGAGACAACTGATGAGAGGGAGGGGAAAGGGAAGGCTGTCAATCACTGTGATGGACAGGTAGCAGATTTCCCTCTAGATAAAACCTTACAGATGTGAAGTGGGTATTGATTTTTAGTTAGTGATGATAATGCACCAAGAAGTAATAAATTATAAGAAAGCAAGGTCAAAAAGAAAAGGTAAAAAGACTTTGCATTCTTGAGGAGGGGACTTCTCCAGATGCCCCAGACTTTGCTAAGTTCAAAAGTTGCCTGGAAAATGAGTTTATCCAGCTGAAACAAGAAGTCAGATAACGCAGGTCTGCCAA